CAATGAGCAGTTTTGTGTGCGGTGCCGCCCTGGTGGTGGACGGTGGACACACTCTGTAACCAGGAAAACTCGATGACCACTCATCTACAAGGAAGTCATACTAGCATGATATCGTAATCCGCCTCATTAGCAATTTCCTCCCAATGAATATCTTTTTCAGGTGCAGACGCTCGTCGTTGCCACAGTGTCGTAACGATTTCACTTAATGATTGGATATTCTTGATTCCGTGACGGCGTTTGCGATCAAATAAAACAAGCATCCTTTCTTGTAGATCCGGTCGGCTGCATTCTGCGGCGACCACGAAGCTTGCCCAATTATACGCGCATCCGCCATTCCTGTGAGTGAGGGCCTCGGCGGCTTCAAGGTCATGGACTGCTTTCTCCACGAGGTCTTGAACGTCATCGACGGGGACCCGGCGAAGAACACGGCGGAAGTAGATAACGGTCGCGTAATAAAAGGAGCTCAGGGCATGCTGGATGACAACCGACTCGGGGGTTTCCTGTAAATGCAGGCTGGGAAATTGGAGATAAAGCTGCAACTCTAGATTGTCCAGTTCTGCCACAGTGATCTGATCCGGCGATTCCCGCAGGGCCGACATGCCCGCTAGAAATTTTACAAGTGCTAATGAAACACCATGCGATCGCTCCAAATAGTTCTGCAATTTCGGAAGGTGTTCCAGCAACGCCACTAGTTGAGCTGACATTCGGAAATTGCACAGCGAGGAGAGGGTTAGGTAACTATGGAGGAGGCGTGCCGCTGTGGGTGACTGGAGCCACTCGCCATCAATCTCATGCTCTAGCATTCCTAACCCTCCAAGAACATGAGCTCTCCATCGGCCGCGCCGGCCAGACATGGCTTCAGCTGCAATACACGTCAGCACAGCAACAAGGGTTGTCTCATCCAGTCGGCTTCCGGGACTAAGGTTCTGTCGCAGGTGCTGTAATGCCTGCTGGTCATGCCGAACAGCAAGAGGTTGGTATTTAGATTCGTTGCGAAGATGACAAAGACTGAATGCGGATGCTGCACAGAGCCCATGGAAGACGGCACGGTACATGTTTGACTCTGACGGGGAAGAGTTCAATCCCTTGAGCGCCAGTGGCATGAAAACCGTGCGACATGGATTGTCAGCCAAGTCGATCAGGAGGAGGTTTCCGCTGAGAAAGACGACCCAATGATGGATCAATTCGATTTCAGGGGTGGCCATATTCGTAGGATTCAGCGAGGATGAGATGCGTGTGACTCCCAATAGGTGCTCCTGGATCCTGTTGTTTATGGCCGTTGTGCAAATACCAGAGGATCGCCTACGCTCCATCTGTGGGGTTGTCTCATCTTGGTTCGGAATATATTTCGGAAGCTCCGGAAAGGGCAGCGGTTGCGCCACCAACGATGCCCTTGGCGATGATGATACAGAAGGGTCTGATTGGGGTGGAGGACAAGTGTCGAAGCTCTCCACAGATGACTCGCGAGATTTTTGACTGGAGTCTTCCGCCACAGAGACAGAAAAGACCGAGAATGGCCCTCGCTGAGCGACTGCTTTCCCCGAGGAGTGATCCAAGTCACTCAAAAGCGCCGTCACAGTAGACGGTGACAATTCCGACGCCGTCTTAGTTGACGAGCTGAGTAGCCGACGCTGCGGTGCAGTTCCCGAGGCATTGGTCCATCCCAACCGCACCCCGTACCCCTGGCATATTCGTCCACTGTGACGACATCGTTCACAGTGGGGGCGCTGCTCATCGCATTTGACCCGGCGAGACCGGCATGTCCAGCAGCCTGTGAATGTTTTGGAACGTGGTTTCGGAGTCATGGTGGCACACGTTTGTGATAGATGCGGAATCCTTTCAGGGATAACTAGAGTTGGCAATAAATTAGTCAAGGGTCCAGTGGATCTTCCTTCCCCACACTCTTGGCGAGGCGAGAGTTCAGAGCGCGAGTCACTTGAAAAACTTTCATTCCAGCAGTGAACTACATATCGTAAGGTCACACTTTGTACAGTCATATAAAAAAAAATCTACTCGCTATGCCCATGTCCAGGAAATCCTCGGGTCTGTCTATATACGCGCAGATTTCATTCTTGTATCCGGAAACGTCTACTGTTGCTTCTTCGGCTCCGGCTTCACCGCCAGGGCACGGATGATCGATGTACCAACATGCGCCGATTCCTTCCACCCTTTCTGACGCATCCAGAAACGTTCCGCGGGATCAGTGCCATGCCGAGACCATGTGCGAGCATCATCTTCGAGCGAGGCCCGTGTGATTTCGGAAACTTCCTGGGACTTGTCCACATACGGCGTGGTTTCTTCGTCGGCTTCATCATCACTGGTCCTAGATTGCAGAGTCGAGTCCAGGAATCGTTTCCGCAGCAAGTAGCGCTCCGTCCGTTCCCGTCGTACATTAGGGGGTTCCATCTTGGCGATGGTGGCTCGCACCGCGTAGCGCACCAACAGGTAAATGTGCTCGCAAAAAAAGATCGTGAGCAACAGTGCCCACCCCTTGATGGATGTGGGCTGTCCATTTGGTCCTTCGTGACCGTTGCTAAACATGTAGACCAGAGCCGCACTTGTAATACTTCCTACCCAAGACAGGAACCCTAAACTGTCCAGCCACGGGCCGATAGTATCCGCACGTTGAGGCGATGGTCGTTTGCATTCCATGCAGATTTTGAAAAAGTCGGACCGCAGTTCAACCCAATTATTGACCAAGAATGAGACTGGCACTAGAGGCCAGATAGGAGAAAATAGTGCTAGGTATCCAAATTGAATACACATCTCCCGGAGATCATCGGTCACGTCATAGTCTTCCATCTCAGCTTCATTACGTACCCGCTTGAGGAACTTGGCTTCCTCGGGGGCATCCTCAAACGAAACCTCAGGAGCCTTTTTCTGGTCTGCGTTGCCATCCGGCTCCGCTTTACCGGAACGCTTCTTGTACTCCTTGTACTTCTGAAGGCCGCGCTGCTTCAGCATCGGAACTATCGTTTCCTGGGCGAAATTCACGACCTGGGCAGTCACTGTGAAGTATATGACCTGCTTCTTTAGACGAGCCGGATCGATACTGAATTCGGCACGCGTTGTTATCGCGTCTTTTTTCGAAACAAACGGACGGACAGTCAAGTGGAAGATATCGAGGTACGGCACGATACTATGAGCGAAGGGGACATACACGAACGCTGTCAGGAAAACAGGTAGGTATGAGGTAATGAAGTTGATCACAAAGATCTTCTGCGTCAATGCTACGTCATATGCGCCCTGGGTCTCGTAGTTCTCGTAGTCATTCAGCCTTGTTGCCACAGACACAAGGACTGTGGTCATAGTCGGAATTAACGCGGAGAGCAAGATGGTAGGAATGAAGACCTAACAAGTCAGTTGGTGGTGCATTGACAACCAATATATAGAACTTACCAAGTATGTCTTCAACGGCCCGTTGTATATCTCCGAGATGAATATTTCAATAGCGAAGCATGTCGCAATGATGACACCCAATGCGAGGGCAGCAACGAGGGCAAATGGCACCTGGAGGAGTTGTCGCTGCAAGCGCTTTGTGGCGGGATAGACACCTCGAGTTTCGCCCGTACTCTCGTCCCGAACCTCCCTTTCAGGTTTGAATTCGCGTCTCTTTTCGCGCAAAACCGAGACACCCCTAGACTGCCATCGGCAACTGAGATCCTCTTCCTGGCGTTTCCAATATTCGATAAAAATGATACACCATAGAGCATTGCCGATAGTGTAAATAACTGAAAAAGAACCCAGCAACAACCAGCAAGAGAAACCAAAAATGGCGGGGAAGAGTAGGAACCTGAAATACGACTGTAAGAACGCGAAGTAGAAGCCAACCTGCGGAAAATACGTCAGCACCAATAATCAGCAATAGAGAGGTACCATCACATACACTTTCTCCGAATGTGTTCCGTATCTGGTCCAGGTCTTCGTTGGACAAAAATGTCTTCTTGCTCCAGTCTCTCATACATTGCTTGTTGGTCGCTTCATCGTGCAGTGGGAAGATGGCAATTACGTTCTCCCACTCGCCATGCTTCATGGTGATTCCAGCACCACCCGCTTCCCGGGGCACAGTTATCATATGGTGGATGACACGCAATCGCTCAGATTCGGATTGCGGCTCGGCAGAGGACTCCGGTTCGGGTTCGGTATTGCGGACTCCATAGAGCCAGTCGCGGATGCTATAATACAGTAACCAGTCAGCATAGACGATCATGGCAAAAAAGCGGCTTGTGGTATCCTTACCGTGACTGATAAACGGCGCGTTGCAAGTTCTTCTTCCTTGAGGCCCGGACAAAGACCAACACCGACGACTCATCACCCTCTCTCACCTCTGTCTGCAACCCTACCTCAGACAGTCGACGGAGCAACAATTCCAGCTGCTGGGACGCCTTATCGGCATCTGAGATGGTCAACCTAATTGTCTGCAGCAGAGCGCGGCGAACATACCCGTATCATTAAAGCTAAAGCGGATGACGTAGTCCACATGGTTATTGTGAGGCACCTCCTTTTGATGCGGTTGGGAAGCCATTGAGGGTAGAGTTCAAATCACTGCCGCACCATTAAGTCAAGGTAGGCTCGATTTGACTGTCCGAAGAACAATTCCTTCGGATGAGAAGGGAGTTAAAAGACCCGGTGAAACTGCATTGCGATGACGACGTCACGGGTAAAGCTTGTTGTAGGGTTAACCCTTCAACTTTGTGGCTGAGTGCAGATTAGTGCGAGATCGGCGATCAGGTTTTGCACAGCCACTCGATCGATCAACCCCGATGTGGGTGGTAACTTAACTTTGTAAGTGGTTTAGAAGACGGGCTGGATCTGTATGGGCATACTTGAGTCGCAAATCTCGATGTGTACGGAGTAAATCATGCGGTTTTAAGCCATGCATGACCTCAGTGTGCTTGGTGACGATTCCAATATGTATGCCAAGACAACATAGTCGTGTTGTAGTTACTATAGAGGGCTTGGGTTTGTTTATGCACTTATGGAGAAAATCAGGCATCAACGCCCGGATGGTCTAGTGGTATGATTCTCGCTTGTAAGTTGACCTTGTCAAAATATCTCCTCTACAACTTCGATACTAATAAATCTTCACAGTGGGCTGTACTGTTCCAATCTGCGAGAGGCCCCGCGTTCGAATCGCGGTTCGGGCCATTACTTTTTTTCCTTTTTATCCCTCAATCCACCAGGTGCCTCTCATATACTGTCCCTTTAGTATTGATAGGGTACTGCTCGATGTGACTACTATCTCAATCTGCCAGGCCAGCTTCTATCTTCACATAAATCATCGCCATGTCTGGCTGGGGAATGGTCTGCTACAAGGCTACAACCTCGTCGGTCAATCCGGTAATAAGAGAATTTAAAACGCAAACTTCCCGTGCACGTGCATCATGCAATCCACGACTGTTAACTATCTGAGTCTCTGTACGATAGAGGGGCAATTGCAGACCTTCGAAATTAGACGTAGACTACTGGGCGAACCTGAATGGCTGCAGGGGTGATGCAAAACGGAGTATTTCGTTATAAGACCTCACTTGACACTATACTGCGGTAGAACAACACTCGGCCTATGGATATGGAAACAATGGTCAACATTTGCAAGCAGTAGTATTGGGGGTATTGACTCGATGTGAATCTATATTCAGTGCTTGGGTAGACAGAGCAGCTTATCTGTTTACCACCTACTAGTACAAGACTGGGGAGCGCCAACAACCCGATGTAGACGGACGGGGGCAACTGATCATTGAGTCAATCTCAGTCTACGCTCAACCAGCGGATATATATACGATGCCTGAAACTATTACCACCATTGAACTGTATACTCTCGTGCTACGTAGAATAGAGGGACTAATTAAACGTACTCCATAATAGCATTTCATACCTAAATTCAGATTAAATAAATTTTACATGGATAGTTTAAATACGAGTGAAAGCAATTCTCAAGACAGGCCACGCCAATTTAATGGAGTTTATGGTATAAACTACCAGTCATAATATAATATTATAGATATTTACCGCACCAGCGCCCGGATGGTCTAGTGGTATGATTCTCGCTTGTAAGTTGCCCTGATCAACAATCGATCAGTAATTTCGATACTAACGAAAATATCTAGTGGGCTATATATGGTACCAATCTGCGAGAGGTCCCGCGTTCAAACCGCGGTTCGGGCCTTACATTTTTTTCCCCATCCTTTTATTTCTTATTTCTAAATATTATATTTGTTCTCTCTCTTGGCTTTGCCTCCGTGCTTATCACATATCAGCCCGGATGGTCTAGTGGTATGATTCTCGCTTGTAAGTTGACCTTAATCAACAAATGCTTCCTTCATTAGATACTAATAAACAAATACAGTGGGCTGTACTGTTCCAATCTGCGAGAGGTCCCGCGTTCAAACCGCGGTTCGGGCCGAACATCTTTTTTTTCTCCTCCACAACCCTCACCTTTTTGTTTCTCTCTCGTTTCTCTCTCCCTTGGCATTGCTTTTCTTTTCATGATCTAGTAGCGCCCGACAACGACTGCTCCCAACTCTTGAAGTGTTACTTAACTGTCCATGCTATTTTCTATAGTTACCGTTTTCTTCGCCTGCAGATTCGAATCCACGCTTGCATATGTCTATAATTATGCCTATAGTCGCTCCCCTCTAACGCCATCCTATTTATTCTCTTGTTTCTGGACGCTGGGGGACTACAATTTTTTTTTTTTTTTAAAAAAAAAAATAGCATTGCAGATAATTCACCAGTCTTATCGTTACGCACTAAAATCCTGGAGTAGTACAAGCAATATCAAGACTTATCTGATCATCGCAGGTTTGTGTGTAAGTAGATGATATATACTGGTCGCATCGACAAACCAGGTTCCTACTGCTAATCTTTTCGACTTCACCACCACCCACCGCTGTAATATGAGAAGGGCATACCTATATATGCTGGTACTTAGAGATCTCTCTTAATCTATTCAATTCCTGGTAAAGGTTTCCATAAAAGATCAAATCACTCATTGTTATTACTATTCTAGCTATACCTAATATTTACCGAGAGTTCGGACCCAACAAATGAAACTACCCAGAGTTAACCCACCACTCCAACACCGGCTTCCACGTCGCCCTTCTTGGGCGCCACGCTGCTTACTTCGGACTCGGAGTGGCCGAAACGGTGGATTCCCACGACACTCGTCGACTCGAATTGGAGCAAGTACATGTACCAGTAGTAGACACCTGGGGGCGCTTGTTAGAACGAGTTTGTTGCTGTTGTTGTTGTTGTTGTTGTTGTTGGTCAATTCCCGAGGCAAGGGCAGACACGACTAATAGGGGGCTAGTACTTACCGCAGAATAAGCCACCACCCAAGATATTGCCCAGCAAGGTGGGGATGATTCCTTTCCAGATATACAGACCGACCGTGATCTTGGGAGCTCCGACCCAGATGGCCAGCGGGATAAAGGTCATGTTGGCGACGACGTGATCGAAGCCGAGAGAGACGAAGGCGAAGGTGGGCCACCAGATGCCGACGATCTTGGAGGTGAGGTCGCGGCCCTGGATGCTGAAGAAGCAGGCGAGACAGACGAGCCAGTTGCATCCGATGGCGCGGAGGAAGATCATGTGGAAGTCCGGGGTGACTTGCTTTTTCGTGGCGAATGCGATGACCTGAGACCTGAACGGTTCGGCGGAGAAGACGTTACCATCTGTTTCTGTGTTAGGGGTGGTTGCTTGCTTGCTAGGGTTCGTCGCGGAGACGCTGGGAATGACTGGCACATACACCCGAATATGATGGCAACGATGAAGAGCGACCCGGCCAGGTTGCCGAGGAACGTGACGGCCCAGTGAATCAACATCTTATACCATGGCAATCGGCGCTGGAGAGCAGCGACTGTGGTGAACTAGTACTGCCTTAGCGGTGCTTTCTTCATACCGGGGAGACCGAAAGTCTTACCATGAACGACCCGGTGCAAAGGTCGACCCCCGTTAAGAGAATCATGCACAAGCCGTAGGGGAAGATCAACGAACTGATTGTGCGGAGGAGACCCGGGGCGTTTTCCTGGAACCAGGGCGTTGCGTTGGTGCTGAGGACAGTTCCACAGGCGAAGGCGAGCAGACATCCTGCTGACACTGCGCTGAAGAAGACTTTGTCCAGGCGCATATTGCCCTTGGCAACTCCAGCACGGCCGACGAATTCGATCACCTCGGCCGGTGTGAAGGCATCTAGGCTGACGTGCGACATGTTCGCTTTTGGTTTTAGATCTAGACAGATTATGCAATGGCGGCTCCAATGGAGCTCGGAACGCAGAGGCGGAGAAGTTCAGAGAAGAAAGGGACGATGGCACTTGATGACACCGTCTGGTTGGGACATGATGCCCACATATAACCCTAGCCGGGTTCAGGAGGCAGTCGAGATATCACGATAAATGATCGGCAGCAAGATCGACGATCATAACAAAGTTAAACCACTGCTTATCGAGCGTCCGTCACTGGGAGACGATGACGGGTCCACCTTTTCGCATGTCAATGATTAAAGATCCGTGCATCCTCGTCAGCATATTCAGGGAGTCAGACTGCAAGACGCTCCGCCGATCGAGAGATAAGAGTTGAGATAGGAAACCCTCAGACGTCTGGGGGCGAACCAGATCGAACCCACTTATCGGTCCCTTGATAAGGAATGCGACGTCTTCTCCGCGGCTACATCACTGGTCATTGATGATAAGGCTTGATGAGTATGAACAATGTTCGCTGTGACAAATGCCCCAACGACATGCTTCCATTCGTACCGACCTCCTGGGAACGGGGTCCACCATCTTGTGGGCCGGATCTTGATGGCTCTACTGCGGTACTACTACGGACTAGTTCCTTGGTATTGAACTGACTACTATAAGCTGGATCTAGATATTGGATAGTCTTCCGACAGCAGCGCATTCTTATACCGTGCCTAGTAGTACTAGATGGCAATCAGCATAGCTTAACTGATAATAACATTGGCAGTTGGACCCCATCTATGCCGCGGTGCATTTGACTTGGTTACGATTAGGGCTTAGATTAGGTTTTCCCCATCCGAACATCGACAGTGCGCAAATAGAATGAATGGGCTCTGCTAAACCTGGGAGCGGTTGTTGTATGCGACATATCCAACCCAAGGGAGAGGACTATTCGAGAAAGCAACTACAACAGGAGCTATGACGTGGAAAGGCTCAACCTCCCCTAGATGAATATTGCACAGCTAAAAAGAAGACACTACGTAACTCGGCGAATGCCTTGCATAGTTACCATCGGGCCTATTACAACAGCATCGGGCCTTTCGGTCGGCGGCCGGGAATGGCGGCATCGTGAACCATGAAGTATCTCAATTACGCTCCCTCTGGTCATAGGCTCTGGGCGGTCCGCATGACTTGAACTGTTCCCGGCGAGTTAACACGGCGTTCTCAACCGTGGACGCGATCGCTTTCGCCTTGTTCCGATTTGACGGGCCCAACGCCGGACCGGCCGGCCCTTACAAAATATCATGGGAACCAGTGCTAGAATGACGAAGGATATCCTAGGAGCTGTAGATGTCCTCGGAGTTCGAGTCCTTTGTGGCTTGAGTGGCTTGTGTATTTATATACGGAATTCTTACTCATTTCAACTGGATTGTACTTTTTTTTTTTTTTGTATAGGGTTCTGTTTCCGTCTTGTGTACATCTATCACTCTCACAATGAAGACTACATTCAGCTCATTATATCGGATCAAGAGTCTCCATGCGCCAGCGACCGCCATTGGGGGCGCTAGACGACTTGCGCCTCGACGACCACCCCCGTTTTCTCCGCTACGAGGTCTACTCCCGGCGCGACAGCTCTCAATTGAAACCACGAAGAGCATCCCCAGTGAGACATACCACGGCAGTGCTCGAATCAAGTATCCGCTGCTTCTCACCACTGCTGCCACGCTCGGCGGCGGGTTCCTCTACTCGCGCCGGCAAGGCGCAATCCAGCTCGACAACGGCGAGAGATCGCCCACCGTCGCCCACTCCTCCGCTCTCCAAGAGAGAGCTCACGATGCGCTCTACGACACGAGCACATCCTTAGATGCCGTGGACTTCCCGACCGAGAAAGCGATTCTCACCAGCGCCCCCAACGTGCCGCCGCCGATCACGCGCGATTACCCAGTCATCCTCGACGTCGACCTGACCACGACGGCCAAGCTGGAGCAACTGACCAACCAGTACAAGTACGAGAAATGGACGTTCAACAACACCGTGCCGGGCCCGTTCATCCGCGCGCGCGTCGGCGACGTCCTGAACCTGAGAATCACGAACCACGACGAATCCGGCATGGCGCACAATATCGACTGTCACGCCTTCATGGGCCCCGGGGGCGGGTCGGCGCTGACGACCGTCAACGAGGGGGAGACAAAGACGGCGAGATTCAAGATGTCGCAGCCGGGGCTGTTTGTGTACCACTGCGCCGTGGGCCCCGTCGGAGTGCACATCGCCAACGGCATGTACGGGCTGATGTACGTGCAGCCGGAGCAGGACCTGCCGCCGGTCGACCGGGAGTACTACGTGATGCAGAGCGAGTTTTACCACGAGCCGCCCGAGGAAGAAGACGACGGCCGACTGTCATCGACGGTCGAGTTCTCGTGGCCGCACGCCCTGCGCGAAGCGGCTGACGTGGTGGTGTTCAACGGCAGCGAGGCCTCCCTCACTGAGAAGCCGCTCAAGGCGACGCTGGACGACACCGTCCGCATCTTCTTCGGCAATGGCGGCCCCAACCTCACTAGCTCGTTCCATGTCATCGGCACTTGTTTCCAGAAAGCGTATCGTGACGCCGATGTGCTGAGTCCACCGGCGCAGTCGGTGCAGACCGTCACGGTACCTCCCGGTGGGTCGACGATTGTGGATATGAAGATGACGGTGCCGGGTACATACACGCTGGTGGATCATGCCATCTTCCGCCTGGAGAAAGGCGCTAAGGGATTCTTGAACGTTTCTGGGGAGCCGAGGCCGCAATTGTACTATAGTAACCAACCGCCGCAGCCGTGCGAGGGTTGTAAGCTTCACCCGTGACGATGTGGCGGGTGCACCTTATGATGGGGCAATACTTCCACCATACACTGGAACCATTTTAATAATTATTAGTAGTTTCTAGTTAGCGTCGGGCGCATCACTCGTATACATCAATCCAATCATCTTCGGCGCAATATAACGTTGTTCAACCCATTACGCGAAAGCAACCCAAGGGGATAACGTCACCATTAAACCATTTCCGATGTCTCCGAAACTCAATTGTACACGAAAAGCACGTCGTCTCCTATAAGACCACAACGCGACAAAGAGGACGAAAGGGGGAGAGGAATACACACTCACACACGCAAAGCAAAAAAGAAAAAAGGTGGATACGCCAAACTCTCTCCGGATAATATGCTAGTCAAAACAATGTTCTTCCCA